ACACAATTGAAGTTGGCTATGTCGTCAACCACTGGAACTGAATACTAGTACGTCACAACATACAACTAGATACCAACATCTGAAGGTGAGGGGTGACTTTTATACTAGTAGTTAACTGAAAGCCATATCAAATCTGGAAAAGCAACAAACTATTATGATATGCAGGATTGAAACTTCGATCATTTAAGTAGCTTATTAGGTAAGTGTAGTCAAACCATAAGAAATCACAAAGCAGTTCTGAGCCGTCTGATATCTGCACAACTTCAAAGAATATTACATTGCGGTTACAATGCAATGAAAATTAAATTACAAACACTTGGGCGCTTGTAGCCAAACCATAAAAGTAGAAAAGTGATAGCAGAATGGATGTGTCATTAATAGTCTACTTGGTGCAGACGACACAGGTGAGTTCCCTCCCTTCAACGTACTGGCCAGGGAGGGAACACGGCAGCGACCCACAGCGGGCTTCCACGGGGTAGAACAGCGCTCCGTCCTGGTTTTCCCGCCCGCCCGGTACAGCCTCAGCCTCAGGCTGTTCATCCACACAGACGAACTCTTTAGCACTTTGGTGGATGTGGTATTCAGTCATGAGGTAACCATGGTACTCGCGGGTCCAGCCGCTAAAACAGGTGTTACGGGCGGGGATCATTAACTTACTGCCGCGGGTTGGGACGTAGCAGACCGCACACGGGACGTTGTTATTGAGAAGGGAGAAGGAGCCGAACGGGTAGTTTGTGTTCAACTCGTACTCAGCGCCGTACATGTAAGCCTTGTTCCCTTGGAGTCCATCTTGGTACCGTCCCCACTGTGGGTCGGTCGGCAGACACTGGTAGTTGGTCCCGCCGCCTGTGTGGCCGTACCATTCACCTCCAGCCACACCTGAATAGATGTACTCAAAAATGTCAAGCGAAAACGATGAAGCAAGCAAGTCATCAACATCATCATGTACTATTAATAAGAATGCGGTGAAACGTGTGCCTCCTGCAACACCTGAAATCAATGTATAATGTTTCCCACACTATAGCTACAGACATAGACCATCTGTCAATTATGTTCATGGAATTTGAACTGGCGCTGTGATGCAGCTAAGAAAATGTAGCACCACACAAGCCGTTTGTATTCCACAAAGACAACTTACCTGAGTACACCAACTCTGCTCCGCCGTTATCAGCGCAAGTCTTCCTCCCCCATCGGATGTACACACTTCCTCCTGAAAAATTTATTATAAAATGATAAAGAAGCGACACATGAATTCAATGTAACAATAACCATTTAATATGAAAATTATATATACGTTTATATGTGGATCGGGCGTAGCAGGCAAAATATGAAAGTATGAAGAATATATTTGAATGACAAAGATGAAAAAGTTGTTACCTGCTCCTGGCGCCCCGTCTCTTCCCGGCGGTCCTGTGTCTCCCTTGTCCCCGGGTGGACCCTGCCGTGGTGAGGACATACATTGACAACCATGTCAGGACAACAGGATGATGAGAGATATGTATGTTTCTACATACGTTTCTGGTTACTACAATGTCTACATATAATGGTAACAAACATTAGTATAAATAACGGGTATCTGCAAACCTGCAAGCCCACAGGTCCTGCCACACCTTGAACGCCATCCCGTCCGTCCCGCCCAGTCTGTCCGTCTGTCCCGGGCTGTCCGGCTGGTCCATCCCGACCGTCTCGCCCAGGGGGACCTTGAGCACAGCCTGGGAGAAAACGCATGTTCATTTTTTGAAGGACAGACCAATCTCACTGCAAGCACAGTCAGCCCCTGTGTTTAACTAGCGCTGTTCTAACTGAATAGACTGACTCAGGAGGAATGTAAAAAAAAGGTCACCTGGGAATATTGCTGAACTAGAACACGATTTGAAATGAAACATTGTCATTGTGTTACTTTTTCTCCTGGATTCACGCATTGTGGACTTACATGCATAAATAGTATTTTTAGTGATCAATTGTAGCAGCTTTAGATTTAATACTCACGGTCGAACAGCCCAGAGGAGCCGACTGTCTGTCTCTTGACTCGCACCGCGTCATCCTGACTCGTACTGACAACCTCCGCACCCAAACCTCCACCGTCCTGTTGTAAACATTCTGTTGTTTTAATGGCGCGGGAAACTATAGCCTTGTATATACACACTATAATCTGTTACTCTTTATCTATTTGTCTTTAGGTGCAAGAGAGGTACTTACGAAAAGATTTAGCTTGGATGTCGCTAAGAAAGAAGAGAAAGACAAGAGATGCATGTAAATTAACGCCGAATTTCAATAAACACATAAGTATAGAAACACACCTCCGATTCGTCAACAGTCCGTGGCCGGTCGTGCCCAGCAAAGGTACCGGCAACCAGCAGGTTCTCCGCCGCCACCAGCCGCTCCCTCAGTCCGGTGTTCTCGGTCTGCAGGACTGATAACTCCCGCTTCACACCTGTCAGCTCCTGCCTCACACCTGTCAGCTCCTGCTTCACACCTGTCAGCTCCTGCCTCACACCTG